AATAATGAGCATGTTCCTCGATTTCCACACCTATCTATGGATTACTTGAGAAACGTGACTTTTGGAACATATCAAATCAAATTATCAGCGTCCTATGTCCAAGACAGAATACTTACTAAGAGATGATCATGAGTGAAATTGATCTCAGAGTGAATGAACCTGGATTCATTAGACTTAGAGTGTATTCTTGATTCAGGAGGAGAGAAAAATATCAAGTATTTATTCAATACACTCCGCAAGAGAACCATCCTGACGAAAATAATGAAGAAGATGTAGTGGTAATAGGATACTACTGCAGTTGCAAATCAGGGGCAAGGACACTAGGAACATGTGCTCATATTTGTAGCATATTGTGGCATTTAGGATTTGCCCGCCATAATCAAAATATGAATTATCCATCGACTTCTGTGTTACAACATATTAAAGAAGCCGCAAATCGTCCAGTGCAAGATGCAATACTCCAGCAGCTGTAAGTGTTCGGGAATTATGTTGATAGTGAGTGCTCGACTTTTTTGTTCACCACCCTGTGAATATCGGTTTCGACTTTGTTAGTAATGAATTAGATGAAGTTTCAATTAGATAGTGGAGTTATATTTATATTATAGGGTTAGGTAATTGAAAAAGTAAATGACCGATTTCAACAATCGAAACGTGTTCTTATCTTTTCCTGTAACTATCATTCCTAAAAAGCTACGAGATATGTCCTACATACAGATTAAATGTTAGGCCGATCATCTGATGGTGACCACTTTTGTTATGTTCACAAAGAAATCTACATTCATCTATCAAACGACCACTGAAATCGGACTAGAAATAACAAAGTAATAACAAAATCAATTCGATTCGGCACTTTGGCAAATACAGTTTCACCAAATACGGCCCTGTAGGACAAGGCATGTTTTACAGAGGACTTGTGCTAAAAGACAAATGCCAAGATTTCGCAACATTTCTCATTCAATTTAATCATAATGGGAGCTACAAAAATCATGGGCTTGAAAAAAAAAGTGTCACTGTTTATTTGGCACCTATACTAAATACGACCCTGAGAGCTGAATCTTTGGTCTTAGAGGATTGGTCACATGAAAACATTTGATCAGAAACTTCATACCAATAACATATGTGAATTTCAGGCAAATCCCACTGTGGGCCAATTCCCTATGGTTTTGTGCGGGGTCCTTTGTATATTCATCCATTTCATTTCTGTACCATTATACGGGTGATGTAAGGTAAATACAATAGTTACTGTATACATCATCGGTGAAATTCTCAGCAGTCTAAAAGCCAGATCAGGTGCTTTGTTGAACATAAGGAGCTGTTCAGGTGTAAAGTTGCCTTTCCCTCAGGATAAAAAGAAGCCGAGTTAATGTTACAGAGACCGTTATATGAGGCATAGATATTGATGAATTCGGCTCTTTCAGAGAAAATGCATCAGGCTTGAGTTTTGGTGGCGTTGCATTCAACCAGTTTGATGGTTCCCCAGGCTGCAATTTCCAGCAAGATCTCCATTGACATTCATTGACATCCCAACAGATCATTGATATAGAGTAGGAATAATGTTGGTGCCGAAATGTTTCCTTATGATGAGGATTGTAACTAGGACTTATTGAAAGTGACGCATTCCTATTGCACACCAACGAAAATACTGGCTAGCAGCTCTGAAAGCTGTTCTGTCGGTTGCAGAAAAAACGTTTTTCTTATCAATTCTCATATGAATAAGAAGTTGATGGTCTAATTTGTAATGATACGCCATTGGTGTGTTACAGTATCGCACACAACTAGAGGCGATAAATGAAATTGAATTTTCATTATATTTACATAGAGTCTCGCGCTGTTAAAGAGCTCATAGCTATAGAGCAATTTAATATCGTATTAAAAACTATAAAATCGATAATAAGACATTCAACCTTGAGCGATTCCAACGTATATTCCAACACAATGGGCCTTGCATAAACGAATTTTATGACAACATAATTTTTGTAATAACAATAAAAGGGAAACAAGACAATTTACTTTTAGATTTTCCATTAAACTGTAACCCTCTGACTGAAGAAATTAGTCACATCACATTGCGAATTGCTAAAATATTTTCAGTTTATACAATAAAAATCTTCAACTGAATCAGCTGCAGCTTCTTCAACTTCTTGTGAAGTTGGTTGATTATCTTATATACATGTGTTGGAAGTCAGTATTGAAACTATATTATTAATCTTCGAAAACACTCCTGAGGATAACATACATGTGTCGAAATAATGATGATTCGGAAAAATGCAAGCGCAAATATGAAATTGAAACATTTTTTGTATCACGAAAGCTATTTCAGCACTGACGTATCCCACCACGGACGGTTATAATAATTCTTGCGAGAGCGTTCAATCAAGTATTCACTCGGAAATTAATTTCCATTGTTCGAAATGAATAATATAATTATTTTGATCGATCACCGGAGAATCATGACACAGTATTCTGTCTACATAGGTGGTATACGGCGTTACATTATATTACGCTAGGATGTCTGGTCGCTAGGAGGCTTTACATTTTAATGGGGTGGATCGGAGATTTATAATTAGCTGTATCGAATAATTGAATTGGAATATTTTACGTATTCATGCTGTGGATGTGATGACGAATGCGGCTATCCAACCAGGTGTGGTGATTCGTTCGCTTTTCAATATTTTATTATATGTGTATCGCAAATCATGATGCTCGATAGGTATAGGACGTTTATTCAATATCGTTGATTGTAACGGAGTTGAGCGAAGTCATCGTTGTCATCGATGGGATTCAGGGTTGTTTCATGTCGAATTGCCACCTCTGATTTCATCAGAAAACAAATGGTATGGCAATGGGATCATTTACTTTGGAAATGAACAAAGATTCATAAAAAAAACAGAATGGTTTTGTTGTCAATTTTTAAAATATCATTTTTGTTGCTGTCTCATTTGGAACCGTATTCGATTACGTTTCTCCCTATATCAGACGTCTTTGTTCACCGGGTTGGTGTTCTTTGGTTCCAAATGAGGCTCCAAATTACTATTTCAGTGCACAATATATTCAGAAAAACTGACACTAACAAAAACAATTTTCCAAAAATAATATTGTTAAGACCACAACTTCGAAATATGATGACTGCAGAAAACTTTGTCCCCTGCAAAATTGAAAGCGACCTGTCCGAGAGGTTTTTCATGAATTGCAACACAACGTAGAAGACCTGGGTGGATCGTCTACCATGGGCCACCCAGTATTGACAAATGTTAGTCAATTAATAACTGGTAGATTACGCAAGCTAGACTAGTTAAACACGAATGTCATATCGAATTGGAACATACCTTGCCTTGTCGTATATGGACACGCCAAGTAATTCACAAAAGTAAATAAAGGATGAGGTCGGTATTCTTTTTGTATTTGAAGAGCAAATATAGATCTTTATTATATATTATGTTCCTAATTTTATATATAATTAAATAAATAAGGCTTCATCGTTCAAATAACGGCACCTTACAATATACTTTATATATGTTTAATATCTGACAGTATTATAAATAATAATATGAAATGAGGTTTACAATATTGGGAGAGTACTCAATGTCGAAATTGGTGAGGTTTGGAATCACTGTTTATTTTTCTATATTATTCTGAGAATCCATGTAATTAAATGTCTGATTATGCTATCATATTTTATCGTATTATCCAAACTGAATGTCATGATGATGTGTAATTTTTCGAATCATAATACTCAGTACGGAACGGAAGATGCTTTCAATGCTGAAAATTCTCCTTTCATTCTATTTGTTTGTTCATGAAAAAATACAATAATTCTTTATGGGTATATGTTTTCAATGATTAAAATTGATAGATTCACTATCAAAGATATATTTAGTTGGAACATGAGATTGGTGAAAATTGATAGGATAGGTTCATAAAAAGTGCAATGCATAAGATCAATTTCAATTGACGTGGAAGATATATGTATCTGTATACAGGGTGTCCCAAAACTCAATGTCATCCTTTGAAGGGCTGATAGTCCAGCTTATGACTGACTTGAATATCACAATATGACCTCGGTAAAATATTATGAATTCCGTGGAAATCGAAACCTTTGATCAGTTTTTCAAGTGCCGCAGGTACGACACTCATAGTTTGAAATTCTAATTTTCGTTATGCAACCTATAACAACCTTTCTATAGAATCAATATATTGATTACAATTCAAAATAAAAATATTGGTGCAGTACCATTGGAGAAAAGGAACATGTTTGCCCAATTCATGTCGAAAACTACACCGAGTGAGCAATTTTTTTAAAAACTTGCCAGGTTCGCGTGGTGATTTTGTCCACAGTCTGAAGAGTCTAAGTAAGCTAATTAAAATGAAGTTCATGAATACGGCAAACATGTTTTTTCTCTCCAATATTTCCATTTTGGATTGCAATCAATTAATAGTAGATTGTTTTATTGGGATCAAAAGTGACACTTTGTTTGACAAGCAAATTTTGCATTTGCGAGGCGGAGCGTTTAGCGAAGCCGAACGAAAGCAAAATTTGCGACTTGGATATATATATAATCATAATTCCAATACTTAACTATAAGGTGTATTAATATCTCCAGCATGGGTATGAAATGTCAAATCTGCCGAAATCGGAAACAAATCAGGTATGTGTCTCAACTACCAATCGTAACAATGTTGTTTATTCTTGATGACGTCCAGTACATCCTTTTTAGTTCCTAGGAGCTAAAGTTCAACTTCAGCTCCTAGGAACTAATGTTCAACTTTAGCTCCTAGGAACTAAATATGTTACCTATATTTGTGTCAGTATTTGAAACGTCAATTTAAGAGCTAATTTTGGTATCAAAATAGACGACTTCTGTGTCGGTTGCAGAAAAAGGGTTATTACAGGTTGCATAGCAAAAATTATGATCTCAAACTATGGAGTTTTGTATCTGGGGCACTCAAAATACACCGCATTCTCAAAACTTTTTTCAAGTAACTGTTATAGTGACACTTACCGGCTATAGAAGACGTGGAGGCACCAAGCCAAGCATGTGAAGATTCCAACAGTTTGGCCTGAAACAAAACAATTTATTGTTGTAGATTGTATGTAAGAGAACTCAACATTATCATTCCTATCGACAATAAATCTCGTGGCAAATTCAAATATTCATTCTCTCTGCTCGATGCATTCCGCCATTGTTATGCTTATTGCAAATGACAGTGGAGACGTATCTGTTGTTGTTTATCGTTCGATGTCTTCATATTGATGAAGACAAGCCCTTAAATTTGACATTTCTAGATGAGCCAACCTTCAATAAATAAATACTAAGCGGACGACGATAAAGTATTTTTAACAAGCAGCTACCGACCACTGATAGTTGTTGGAGGCCTTCATATGTTATTCTCGATTCATATTGAAATGTATTGAATGATGGTGAATATTTGTCCTCTAATATGACGTGCGCACTAATATGGAAAAGTGGACTGTATAGAAATGAGAAAAAATGCCAACAACTGTCTCCATAAAACCTCCTGAGAGAAGCAGAGATCATTGATTACCTCTCAACCTATAAATATTTTCACAAAATCGTTATATTATGTTGGTGTTTCTCAAAATATTCGTACGATCCAAGATATGAGAAAACTAAAATTTCAACATATCTGAATGATGAAATCGTTGTCAATCGAATCACGATTCAAATATTGATCAATCATTCAGCCTTTTCTATTAAAAAAATTCAATTTTCTTTATTGTCTCATTTTTTTACATTGAGATTCCACAGATTTGTCTCAGGGACGCTAAAAACAAAGATTATACAAAATATATATAGGCATAGCGATGAAGTATGAAGTTAATAAAACAAAAGACGAAAATGGCGACGACAAGTTATTTAATTACTTTCCATTTCGAAAAACAACGACCCAGATGTGAATTATTATAATTTAGATTTACATAACAGTTTTTTTACACGTGGCTTCGCGCCATTACATTTGAATATAATCTGAACATCTCACAGAAGCACGAATTCCATTTGAATACATTAATTCATTGACGTTGTGACGTGTAAAATTTCGGCGAAAGATAATGTATATACAGTGTGTCCACCTTAAGGACTTACCACCCCTGTAAAATCGTTATTATCCGACCGATTTCAAAAAACCTTTTTTTGTTGGATAGGTATTTGAAATGCCCATCCAACGAGAGAGTGATCTAATTCTTGGACTGTAATCGTGGCCAACTGCGTCAAATTTCAATGACCCATACTCCAGAAAGTACTATTAGGGATTTTTTCTACGAAACTTGATGATGGATTCTGAATCAGTACCACTTGAAATATACCTGTACCGATTTTCATCATCATAAAACACAGGGTGTCCGAAAAAACGAATCATCATTTTCTTCAAATAGGTGCGTTCAGCAAATGTAGTTCTGCGGTTTTTCTAGAAAGAAATAATCACAAATTATCATTGAGGATTATTTCAAATATACCTGTACCAATTTTCGTCATTTGAATATACAATGTGTCTGAGAAAAAAATTAAAAAGGATAGGTAAGCAATATTTTTCATCCTGATAATTCTTCACTCAAAATGAAAAGATGAATCAGGATCACTTGGAACATACCTGTACCGATTCTCATCATCATTACACACAGGGTGTTCGAAAAATCAAATTAATATATTTTTTGAGCTGATGAAAAAATATTGCCTACTTTCTCTTTTTAATTGTTTTCTCGTGCACATCGTATTTTTGAATGATGAAAATCGGTACAGATATGTTCAAAGTGATCCTCAATAATAATGTGTCATCAATTCTTCTCAAAAATACCACAATACTACATTTTCTGATCACCTATTAAAAAAAAACATAATTCGTTTTTTCGGACACCCTGTGTTTTATGATGATAAAAATCAGTAAAAGTGTTTTTCAAGTGATCGTGATTCAGAATCCATCATTGTTTTTTGTGAAAAAAATCCCTAATAGTACTTTCTCAAATATAAGTCAATAAAGTTGGTCGCAGTTGGCCACGATTACAGTTCATGAGTAAAATCACTCTCTTGTTGGATGGACATTTCAAATACCTATCCAACAAAAAAAAGTTTCTTGAAATCGGTCAGATAATAACAATTTTACAGGGGTGGTAAGTCCTTAAGGTGGACACACTGTATATACATATACATTGTGTCCCATTTACGAACCATCCATTTATCTTATTATAAAATCGATTTAAATAATCTGTTATAAACACTATATATAGCAATATTATCAAAGATTGCGAACAATTCATAGTTATTTATCAGACAAGGAAAAAAAGTCGTAGATTTTAGCTCGAGGTTTTGTTGTTTCACGTAGCGGAGGGAGTCAAAAAACCGTGAGCTAAAATCTAATATTTTTCCCGTGTATTATACACTATTTTTTCTGTGAAAGAAGAAAGTACGAATCCATATTGGAAAGATATTACATTATATTAAAATCAGAAAATTATCGACGTGAAATTCGATGTTTTTACAGGAACTACACCTACGTTGCAGGCATCTTCATCATTCTTTTGAAGAAATCAAATATCTATTAGTCTAATTCTGTGATCTGATTTTAAAAAATTGCGCATTTAGTGGTTCGTTAGTAATTTACGTATCCATGATCCATATCACTGATCTGTTGGGAAACTATTTCGATGGAGATTTGGCTGGAAATTGCAGTCTGAGGAACCAAAAACCTGGTTGAATCCAACGCCACCAGAACTCAATATATGTTTGATATAACAATATCTGGTAAAACCATTCCCACAACGTCCACCATATTTCTATTCGGTATTACCATCATGCAGTTTTACTCATTCATTGCGAAAGCTGCTTCACAAAAATTCTGAGCGAGGAGTTATACTTTACACCTCACTAGCTCCTTAGGTCTAAAAAGTACAGTTCCGGACCATTCAAGATAACTGTTCCCTAATATTGAGATACGCAGATGCTCTTCGATTCCATCCAGAGACAAGCCATTTATCTGGTTGATGATGCATCGATATAGTGTAGAAAAGTCGACGACCTTTCACTTTCCTGAAGATACTTTCACGGTAAATGTTCCTAAGAAATCTTGACCATCGCAAATTATATATCAATAAAGATGGCTTGATTCCTTAAATGATAATTTGATGATACGCTGAAATAAACACCTGACACGAGGCAACTGTTATTTGTCGACATTTGACGTTCTGGAAACTCCGTACTTTTCTTGTATATAAAGCGATACAAATAACAGGCCAATCTGTATCAACTATACGGTCAGGTGACTCTGGGCGTCCCAAAATTATCATTTCCTATCGACATGATTGTGACATGTGTGTCGTCTACGGTGTCGACAACGAGAATGGTTAGCCCTTAGCCCCGAGGATTTGATATATCCGGATGTCCCCGCAGCCATGGAAGTCGGAATTCAATTATGAAAAGGAAAAATTGCGAGCTTTGGCAAATAAATACCCACTTGACTCGGTCGAATAGCTTTCGAATAAGGTGTTACGCCCGCTAGATGAGGTATACAGTTGATCATCGAAACCGATTGTCATGTGTGTCACAATCATTGTCCCACAAAAAATATGGGGATTTTGTAATGACACATTTCCGCATTTACGACCCTTCAAAATTACAGAAGACGATATCAAGGTTGAACAAACAAAGAATTATTACTGCAGGCCGCAGGGATATATGCAATACGCGTTACCATTTCCCATATGACAAACCACGTGGTCGGATAATAATATAGTCTGTTATTACCTCGCTTTTCATGCTCTCATGGTATATATGCTCATATACTGGTACTGGTACTGGTGGGGGACGTTTCCACGTCAGCAACTAGTCCCCAATGGGACCTTTTTGCCAACCCCAAGTGTTTTCAATGACTGATGTGGTTCGCTCAAGAGAGCTGGCTAACATCCTTTTCAGGCACCGCCCATCAGCTCTCTTTTCAGAGTTTTTCAGTTGTGTTTTGTAGGCTAGTAATGTACTCACTACCATATGCGCAGTGGCAGGCCTGCTAACTATCATCGTTAACCCCCGAGACCGAGGTCTACTTAAGCAGCTGGCCCGCTCTCACGCTCAGCTGGTAGTTTTCCACACCCACCTACATACAGCGTCCTACTTCTTCTCTGATGCTCACAACCACATCATCATATCTTTCTGCGTGTTCTGTGTAGGCTTTGTTACTAACTCCATGCGCCACTTTAGGAGCAGCACTGTTAATGATATGCTCATATAAATCAAATGGTCCCAGCAAACTCAACTTAAGTCTATTGTTATTCAATTTAGGCAGTTCAGTTCAAGGGATGGGTTAACTGGGATCTAAACAAAACATTTCTTCACCCCAAACAGTATTTATTATATGCCTGGATAGTTAGGACGGCAGCGATGGAAAACCTCTTGAACCTTATTCCTCTCCATATTGTCCAGAAAAGTTGAGCCAGGAAGTGTTCAAAAAGTAAGCTACAATGTTTCAGTTGAACTGTGTTCAAGAGAGATTACTCAACAGACCTCTAGTAAACATAGATACAGACAGCCAAGCTGCTGATGCAATACTGATGGAACTCCAAGCATGTATTGGATCTGTTTTCACAGGATCAGGAATATCACCACAAGTGCAGCCAAACCAGCTATTTTGGATTGGGCGGTGGAAAAAACATCAGGAATAACCTGCGATTTTCAACAAGACTGTACAGGTCACTGACGTAAAAAATACCATCTAGGAAGAATAGGTGAACGAACTGTCGTTTCTGCTATGGGGAAGGCGAAACACAATATCAAGTTTATGCAAGAGACTGAGGTTGAACGCATTGTGTTTCTCCAATTTGAAACACATAACAGTAGATTAGGGCAATGCTGATGGAACTTCTTTGCCTAATTTATTGTTCGAGCGATACCTCTTCTTCTTCTTCTTCTTTTTCTCTGCACAGGTGGGCGGGTGCGTAGACCCCTGCACTCAGGCCTCTTCAGTCGGGCCCATTGTGCGCCCACTTGTCCTGTGAATCAGCTGGGGATGCCGAGCTGAGTCACTTTCACATCCTTTGGGTGCAGTACAATGCTC